ACCAAGAACCATCAGACAACTTCAACATACTAATCGTGTTGTGTTTCCGGTGATTAATAGTAGACGCATGGAAAAAAGAGGTATTTCTATCCCCATTCGCGATCCAATTATTTCAAGCTTTTTGGTTCCACAAACTCTCTTCTTGAGCGAGGACTACATTCAACTCCTTTTTAAGCTTCATCTCTAGTTCTAATAAAAAGGGTTCACTTGAATTTTTCACCGCTTTTTTAATTTCATGGATTCTAGCAAGTAACAGATTCTTACGCCTCCCAATATGCCCAAACACCTCCTTATTCCACTTACTACTTTTAGCTTGGCAATACAGTATATTCTCGTAAATGTCTCTATCATTTCTCCAAGAATTCATCAGTAAATTTGGGAAATCCGGGTGATCACTCCAAGCATCAATGTATCGAAAAGGTCTGTTACGAGCAGTCTCCTGTTGGTCCCCAAACATAAGAAGAATGGGTCGATGATCCGAACCCAATTTTTAGAGATGAAAGACTTTTGAATTCTCAAAGCAATCATACCACTCAGCATTACAAATATACCTATCCAGCCGTTGAGAAAGGGTTCCACGTTTCCAAGTGAACTTTGGACCCGAAAACCCCATGTCGATAAGCCCTGTATCAAACATAAATTCACCGAATTTTGAGCAAACTCCATAGTGACGTTGAGAGCCACCTTGGCGTTCACCATAATTACCAATGACATTAAAATCTCCACCAAGCATCCAAGGCAACCCCGAACTTGGATCCAATTCTCTCAGATTCCTCCACAACCTGTTTCGTTTCCCAATCGCAGGGCTCACATAGACAAAAGTAATAAAGACTTGCTGATCTTCACCCATCATAGAACACGCTGCATGAATATATTATCGAGAAACAACAAGGATAATAATATGAATAGGATTCGTCCAAAGTATCCATATACCACCAGAAAAACCCGAAGCTTCAATACGATAGAAGACCTCAAAACCCGAACTTCTGATAAACTGATCAACAACCATACCACTAATTCTTGGTTCCAACATAGCAACAACATCCGGTCTTTTAGACTTCATCAACAACTTAAAATAACGATTAAAATCAGAGTCACGGGCTCCCTGAACATTCCAAAAAATAATCATAACCATAATAAAATAGGGTAAAAAGTGACACGAAGGATTAGACCTGCACATCTGCTTTGTCCGATTGTTCGAACATAGTGTTCGTACGCCATTGAACCATGTCCTCGTCAGCATACTTAGAACCTTGGATTTCTATGGATGAATTCTCCAAGTTAATATTTGTTCGATTAAGTTCAGAATTCATAGTCGAAATCCACTAGCTAACATTCGTTTGCTCGACATCTTCTTATCTTTTTCCTTGTCTTCAATCCATTGCGAGATTAACCTTTAATTGCAGCAAGCCCTTTATTTTGCATTTTTGTACCAGTCCCTCGGGCAGTTCTTTGAAAAATGTCTAAATTACGTTCATTTGGAGCTAAATTCTCATCATTTTCCGTCACATGTATAGCCACATATTTTTCTTTATTCAACGATGAAACCACACTTTTAATCTTACCTATTGAAGCCACAACAATATTGTTATCCGTTAGTTGTGGAGCCGCTACATCACTTCTGCTTGGTATTTTAGTCTCATTAGAAACTCGCCTTGCTTCCCCTTGCCTGCTAGATTCAGCACTACCACTTGCCTTAGCATTCAAATGACTCGCAGAATACATCACTCTCTTATTATTAGTCCCCGACCTAGATGGCTTTTGTATCGGATTACTTCCTGGATTATCATCGACTTGAATTGCCTGAAGAGCCTCAAAGCGAGAACCCGAATTATGAGCAGTGTTTTGTCTTCCTGATTCTGAGCTTGCAATCTTTTTGATCCTAGTGTTCTTTCTCCTCCTGTTCATCACTTGCATCCAAGGACCATACAGATCATCCGATTTCCCACTATCATGTGCTTCATGTACTTCACCATTGTCAACATTAGTTACTTTACCATAGTGTTCATATGTATACCCATACTTACCACAATAATAACAAATAGTTGGTAGTCATTCATATTCGATTGACTGTCGATGGCCGTCTATCACTATTCCAGATATCAGTGGTTTATATAAATCAACAACAACCGCGAGACGTGCAAAGCGACTTCTCTTCCCATCCTCCGTATTATAGTCTACCCTTACCACCTTACCAATAGCTCCTACAATATGTCCAAAGAGACTACGTGTATAATAGCGATAAGGCAAACCAGGAAGCCTCACCAACACCATAATCTTCATTGGATGTTCCATGGCTGTAGAGAATTGTCTACTCCACGGTTGAACTGTGAGGTAGTTTCCATATATCATCCAAGGACCTCCTGTCAATACATGAGAAAAATCCTCCTCACAAGCAAAGCGAACAAGATAATAATCATTGTCAAGATCAATGAGACTAATTTCCCCTAAAAGATTCTATAGTGATTTGATCATACTCAACAAGGCCTTATACCCAATTATTTTCCCCAGTAATCGAATAATCACATAATTAGCCAGCTTGACATCAATAGCATCGTGAAATCTATCTGAAAAGCTAATCACAGGCAAAGGGCCATCAACGTCCAAAACTACATCTTCAGGGTGAACATCCACATCGAAATCATTAAACGAAATAGGTTGGTTACCAACCAGTTTTGGACCCCTTACCATATCGCGAAAAGAGAGATGACCGCTGTTGAACGCTCCAATTCCTTGCCCCAAGTTCTCTGATCTAACATCCACAGGATCACCCATGGGGGAATCAACATCATTGCCGCCGAGATGATTTGAAGAATGTTGAAGTGGTGGGTCTGTCAGTTCGACTCCATCAGGCAGTCGACCACCATGGCCGCTGAATTGATCCATGACAACAGGAGAAACGAGATTCTCGGAAGAGTTGACCATGTATTTTGGCTTTGTTTTTCAATTACATCTTATAAAATTTAAATATTAATATCTGGATTTAACAAAAGTAGATTAATGGAAGAAGGCCATTGAGAAATCATGAATTGTCACTGTTTGATTATAGTGTGTATTCCTTCTGAGAAAGGACTACAAGAAGTAGATATGTCGAAATGACATTCGTGAATTGTCCATATCCAATAAAAATCACACGAGTCCTGGGAAATGCAATGTACCTGTCTAATCATTTTCGATAGAGGGTTATTTAAAATATTAACTTTTACCGAAAATGATAATTTTGTTATTTAAAATAAATATTTTTGATATTAAATATTTTGTAGAAAAATAATATTTTAGGTAATATCCAATATTAATATTTTCGATAGAAAGAATAACATTTTAGATAGCGCTTTATCAAAAATGTTAAAAAATACTAATAATTTTGTTAGCTTATTTTCTTAGCATTATATTAGACTCTCTTTTCTTAGACAACCCCGCTCCGTTAATGTTTGGTTGTACATATTTTTTCTTGTGAAAAAATGTTTATTTTAATTACTCTAATAAAATTAATATTATAAAAAGGTTAAAATATACAAATGGTCCACAGACTACAAGATGTTGCTTTTTTTAGTTCTCTGACTGTTAAAAGTTATAGAATAGTCACTCGACTATTCATATGTTCAAAACTCGAGATGATCATCTGATGTGGACGTTAACTTGTTGACTGATATATAATAAAATTTAATCATATAATAATTTTAGATGTATTTTGTAAATCAAATATTCGTTTACATTATGTCTACAAGCTAGTGCTTAAAACATTATGTTGACAGGCTAGCGCTTGATAGCAAAGATAATGCTAATAAACATCATTAAGATATTATTTTATCATATCTTAATCAGTAGGTAACTTCCAACTCAGGTGGACACTAATTTTTAACGAAAAAATGATGAATTTTGAATACATGGATAGTCAAGTGTCAATTTTATAAATTTCAATAGCTGAAAAATTTAACAAAATATCTTACGGTCAGATGAACATTTTATAATTTTTAATAATCAGGAACTCAACAAAATAAAGTTTTATAGTTGGTTACCATTTGTATACTTTACCCTAAAGAAATCCAAACATTGCATTTAAAATTTGTCATAATTTTGAAGCATATCTAAATGATTATGGTGGTTTTCACTTTTAACTCTCATGTTTTGTTTCCCTTGGCCTATAAAAAATTGGCGGCCGGGCAGGGCTAGTGAGGTTATTAGTCGGCCTCCACTATGAATTATGAAACGATTCATTTGATTAGTACTATGAAACAAAATGCACTTTTTGGTACAATTCTTTTGCCTGATTTGAATCCATGTGCATGTCAGTGGATTCACCTTCAGCTCCCATTTCATTTTTGTTGCTTCAACATATTGCGTTTTCATCATTCATTCTGGCTCACAACTGCAAAACTATTCATCCTCTAGATGTTTGAAATAACTCATTTTTCCTTCACATGTTATCAAATAAGAGGTGGGTAGGGTTATGCTCCTCAAATCTTTTTTTTGTCTAAAAAATTAAAGATTAGATAAATTATACATTAATAATTAACATATTTTTATATTTTTAAGTTTTTACAATTCGACTCCTCTCAATTCTTACTTTATCCGTACAATTCTTACTTTATCCGTACATCATATAGAATCATTTGATGAAATGGAACAACTTCAAAGTAATTGCTTTACTTTGGTAATTTTATATTCCAACAATTATTAAAGACAAAGAATGTGACTTGCTTTTTTTAAAAAAAGAAGAAGGTATTTATCATATTAAAAAATTTCATACAATTTAATTTTTTATGTTTTTTTGTTTATCTTTTTTGTCTTTAAATTTTTTAAAGAATTTACTTCCTAGTCCCAACATAGAATTTTGTTTCGTTTCCTGATGAGTGATGATGGTTACTTTATTTAATGAAATACTAAACTAAGCGGAGTTCAATTTGCATCTGTTATGTTTTAAGTAATCAACAGCTTTTCATAATGAACAAATTTCAAACTATACATCAATTTACATTTGTTTGTAAATAATTTCTGGATTGCATATGATACAGTAAAAAACCAAAAATCAAATAAGCTGATTCACCTATAACTATGCATCAAACCTTCACGATCAACCGGCGGTATGCTCACAACGGTTTCTTGCACCGCCGGCGGCTGCGACGAGCTTGCCTGGCTACACCCGACGATCTTCTGGCACGTCTCGACGAGGCAGTGCCTGCATTTGGGGCAAGACGAGTGGGAGCTTAGCCACTTATCAATGCACTTAACGTGGAACCCGTGGTTGCACTTCGGTAGAAGCCGCACACGGTCACCTGTCGTGAAATCCGACAGACATATGACGCACTCCGAGTCCAAACTGGGGAGATTCAAATCGGCGGAGTAGATCACTGTCGGAAAAGTCTTCAAGGCCTTACGCTTGACCCCTCTGTTTGGTAACCGACCCGAGGCGGTGGAGGCGGTGGATTCCGAAGCTACTAAACGGGCGCACCTTAGTGCACACCTGATGATGGAATTGAGTCCTAGTGAGCAAATAAGTGCACACAAGAGGACTGATAGAACCATAACAAAGTTGGCATCGAAGCTGTTGTTACTGGTGTATGGATCCGAAGAATTGCGGTGGGTTTCTGGGTGCGGTGGAGCTGCCGCTGACGGTGTTTGAAACGGTGGCGTGGGAAGCAGCAACCTTCTAGAGTAGAATTCTCCAAGCAAACCTTGAAGTTCTTGAGTGGATATGGAAGCGGACATAGTTTGGGAATGGCGGGGCTAGTTGTGCGTTTAGGATAGTTTATTTTTCTCGGAGGTTGTTGGACTAGTGGCTTTTATAGAGAGGGCAACGTAAGGGCTTGAATTTGCTTTTTTAACGATGAATGAAAAGTAAACTGAAATATTATATAGAGCACCAAAACTTAGATTAATATTAAATTAAATATTTCTAGTAGTTTTAATAGTAAAAAAAAATTCTTTTTAGAGGTTTTAAGTTTAGCAGTTACATTTATGAATCTACATTGTATTTATTAATAATTAAAATAAGTTATAAATATATACTACCTTATAATCACATTGCGTATATACTAAAAATAAAAGAATAATAATCAAAATAATAAATTGTTGTACCTCAACCAAACCTCCTACAAAAATAATTTTGTCAAAAATTGAAATTTAGTGTAAAAAGAGTTTCACGCTCTACAACTATAACTCCCAAGTCCCTTGCTCTATAACCAGTTATCTTGCCTTAACAAGACTTTTAATGTGATTACTTACAAGTCCACATGATTATTATAATTAAATTTATTATCAAGCAATTATATTCATCCAATCTCTTAGTACTAGTATTTATCATAATTTTATATGTGACATCAATAATAAAGCTCACTATAAAAAATCTAAAATCAAGATAGAGAGAGTCGAATAGAATCGAATCTTTAATTTTATGTTTATCTTCGTTATTATATAATTGGAAGTTTTTAAATATATACTCCTTAATGTTTGTATTCCAGATTAATAAGAAAACGATGATGGTAAAGAGAATAATGACCCGCGCCGGCGGTTTATCTTATGATTTGTAGTAGGATTGCAACGAGACATGGTCTGCGCACTGAGGCTCACTCACCAAAACTTTGTTATCAAAACCCACGTTGGGGTGTAAACAGTGGTGCCACGTGGGCTGTTGGCTTTCACCATCATGTCTTCAAATGCTCTGTTGGACCCATTTCTGCAGCACCCTTCCAAGCTTTTGCCGATTACACTAAGATTTCCATATTTTTTAAAATAATATTTGATGTTGGTATGAGCTAAAGCCGCATACATATTTAAATATGTTCTAAGCCAGAGTCAACTTAAAAACTTTATTTGATATGAAAGGCAAATGAAGAAGGACGACCAAAATTATTAATTAAATGGTTGACTTTTTATAATCTAATTAAAAGATAAGTATTTAAACTATATTTCTTGTTTGTTTTAGGCACTTAAAATTTTATGATCAAATTAGATGTCTAATATTTATTCTGTTATAGTTTAAAGTGCGTAATCATTAAAAGTCGTTAAAAAAATTATTATCTAATCAATGTTTGGCACATAATATATATATATAATTTCTTTTAATTTATTTTTTAAAAAATAAAATCGTTAATTTTCTTAAAACCTCATAAAATCCTTAAATTGTTCAAAATCCCCTAAATCCTTAAACACAAATATTTAAATCTATATACCACCATTGAATCGGTCACCACCCGTCGTCTCTTCTATCGTCGGGCTCCCATCAGCCGATCACTCATTTGTCATCGCTTAATATAGAGTAGTTACAACACTTGGTTGCTAAACCTTTCACACAATATTACTCTTTTCACCCAACACTGCACAAACTAGAATTGAGTCGCCAGCTCGGATTGTTTAAGGGATTTGGGATTTATGAATTCATGAATTAAAGATTTGATATTTTCGAGAAATTATAAAATATAGGGTCTTTTAGAAAAATTAAAATTTAGTGTGAAAAATATTATTAATAAGAAATTAACATCATATGTGAAGCAATCCTAGAGTAACAAGGTTTTTAATGGCCATTGATGGGGTGATATTAAAATGATTACAACACAAAATTATTGGTACCTTAAATGATAACGGAATAAACATTAGACATTTACTTGATTAAAAAAAATTTAAATATCTAAAATAAATCAGAGATATGATTTGAACATTTTTAATTATATTATATTTTACTTAAAATCTTAATTATTCGATTAACAGTTTTTTTTGGTTACACTAACAAAATCTTTATGCTTCGTGCCAAAGCATAAAAAGTCTGTTAATCATTGATTCATTGTATCGATTCTCTTCTATTTGATACGTTGATGCGTATAATCGTTAGATCAATCATGAATTGATTTATTGGCGCATCAATATTTGAATTTTGTGCTTGCAACATAATCCATGGGTATTGATTTTTTGTTGTTGAATAAATAATCCATGGGTACTGTTGGTTTAGAAGATTATATACGTACAAGGTTCGGTTTTTAATTTAGACCGGTGATCTTGGGTTGAATCAAATTGGTGTCGTTGCCTCGTTGGGTCATTGTCGTTACTTTGTTTTGTGTCTTTTTATCTACTACTTTTCATTTTCTTCTTTTACAGATATGATTTCTGTACGGAGAGTCTTTAATGGCCTATAATTAGCGTTCATAAAAACAAAATCAGATATCCCTAAGGGACCCGCAAGATTCCTTTTTCATTTTTTTTAAAAATATCACATGCGGTAATTTTAATATACTATTAAAAAAGTTTTATCAATTTTATTATTATTTAAATAAAAAAATTGATAAAAAAATTACCAAAAATATTATTATTTCTATCGGTTTTATTATTTTTTCTACTGATTTTGTTATTGTTGGGCACTTTACTAGAAATGTTAAAAAACACTGATGTTTTAGGTAGAAATAATAATGTTTTAGATAATTTTTTTATCGATTTTACTATTTAAATAATAACAAAATCGGTAACGTATTTTTTAATTATATTAAGTGCCGCACATATGACTTCCTTTTTTTTTTTTGCTTTAATAACTATTTTAATCTTATTTAAGTCTTATTTTCATTTAATAGTCAGAAATGATTACACGTAGTAATGTTTTACATTTTTTCTTAATTTGATAAATACAAACTCTGTAAATGAAATTATTTAAATTTAAATATTAAAAAAAATAATATTTCTTTTAACTACTCAGACCACTTAATGAATTTAAACTCATAAAAATTTTAATTAACCATATTGAATTTTTTTATTGGTTCTCCTAGTTGGGTAATTTTTTTTCTTACAGTTGTAAAACTGTTAATTAATAAAATAGTAATATCTAGCTTTGCCTTAAGAATTTTACCGATTTCGTCTCTATGAATTAAATACTTTTTAGCTTCGTTCGTTGGTCTATTGTTAGATTTTTTGGTTTAAATTACGTGGTCTATTTTTAGTAATCTAGGGTAACTATAGATGGTTGTATATGTTCTAAAGACTCTTAACCATTTGATAACGAACATTCAAATATCTTATAGTCGCTAGTAATCAAACTCGGGACTTCTATACATAACAACTATATCTTTAACATCCGAGGTAACTTAATTCTGGCATGTTTTATTTTTTATTAGTAATTGTGTTTACCATGATATAGTTCATATTAATGCAACAATATTTAGTTTTCTTTCCTTACAAACTCCCTTGCTTCATGCCTAAGTTTACTTGGTTGAGAAGGAATTTCTTTTCTTGAAAACGTTTTATGGCTTAGAGATTTGAAGGTTCTATTCACGCTCATATAAGATTTTTTTTCCTCAATTTGTTGTGTTCATATTGAGTATTTGAGAGTGCACCTAAAAATAGAACAAGATTGGAACTCGTTTCTGTTCTACGAACTTAAAAACCAAAAAACAATTTTTTACAATATATTAATTATGACACATGTAAATATGGAGATACTTCTCTAAAAAAAGAGAACATTCTAAGAAATAGTCTCAAAAGCTGAATATTTTTGTAAATAAGTTTTTGTATTATTGTGGTAAAATGTTTAATTATAGAATATTTATTAAATTTATTATTAAATTTCTCTTATTTATCTCTTTTAGCTATTGTCGGAATCATCTTTCGTGGGCCCGAATTGGGCTCTGACTTAAATTGATTGGGTTAGAGTCTCCACCGATAATTTATTTTAAGACAAATAGGTTGATCGGATACTTTATTCTTACATGATCTGCGTCTTACTAGTGATGTGTCGGGTTCGAGAGTCGATACGGTCAAGAAGGATTAGAACCCTTGAACGCCCTTTCGGTACCAATTAATTTGTCGGTTGTCTTAATGCGAAAATAAAAATTTAAATTTAAATTTAAAAATTCGATTGAATTGTTTATCTTTGATCGATTGAAAGTAAACCTAAAAAATAAAAAATGTTAGATTGTAAAAATAAAATAAATAAAATAAATAAATATGAAAAAAAGGAAAAAATATAATAGTAATAAGATAAATGAGGGGAAAATAAAATAAATAAAATGGAGTAAAAATAAAAAAATATTGAAATAAAATAAAAAAATAATAATAAATAGGGTTAAATATTAAAAAAAATGTTAAGAAGATAAATATTAAAAAACCAAAATAAAATAAAATAAAATAAATAAATAAATAAAGGACCAATTGAATGATATTGAAGATGGAATGATTACACCAAAGATTAATCCCTTAAAATCCAAAAACCTTTACCTTACACATGTGTCAAGCACGTGGGCCCCCATTAGTAGATCAATTTGTGCGTGAACCCCTAAAACATATTTAAAACATAGTTTTAAATGTATTTATAAAACCATATTAGCATAATCTACTCGATTCCAAAACGTGGACTCACAGCTTTAAAACATATTTTATTAATCCTAAATTGCATCTTCTTCTCACTCACACTTTCGTTTGGAAACTCTTTTTTCTCTGCTTTGA